TTTTAGGGGGGGGACCTGAGGCCATTCTCTTAAAATTTGTGTCCGACAAACTTGTCTCGTCCACTTGAAGACAGTGGTCTGCAGGTCACTTCTTGCAAACTTATGTCGTCTCTCTCCAGCATATGCACCAAATGGAGACGCCCATCGGATGAAGATTTAAAATGTTAAATTACCTTCATCCTTCACTAGCTTGTAACAGTAAAGGCTAACAGACTAAAAGACTAACTCTGGTACATTTACATGAACCATTGTGCTTGTATTAATTAATGTACACTGTCCCCTTTGAATAAATAAAAGTTCAAAGTTTTTTTTGTTGCTCTTGCCAGGTTTCAGTAAACTCCCATCTGGAGGCTGGTTCTCACAGAAAATCAGCTTGTGAACATTCCACTACATGTTCTGACTAGAAAGCCTGAAATGTCACCCATCACATCATGTTAGATCAAATATTGTCCTGTCCCAGATTTGTGGTTAAAACTGGCTCTTTTTTTAATGACCTTTTCTGAAGAGGTTAAAAATGTGACCTTTTGACAGTTTTTTTTCTTTTTGATGTAGCTACTGTATGTAAATGTCCATATTTTTATGTTTTATAGCTATACATAAAAATGTGTTTTTAGAGAAGTATATCATAGGCTGTTTTTGTGGACCTGAGGCTATTTTCCAAAAGTATGAAGCTCTCAAAATTGTCTCATTCATTCAAGACACGAGGGTAACTTCTTGCAAGCATGAGTGCAACTCCCTAGAATATGCACAAAATGTGTTAGCCAGTCACTTCCCAAACTGAAAGTTGAATAATTGCACCAACATTTAAAGTATTCGTTTACCTTTATCTGTCACTATCTTGTAACAGTACAGGCCTAGTTCTTCCTTCCCCTGTAGGTTTGATAGCATGTGCAAAGAGAGGTCAATGTGAATGGATGACACAACACCATATCCAAATAACAGTCAACAAGCATCAAGACCATATTTTCAGAATCTTTACTAACTAGTTATTACTGTAACCATGACAGTGAAACTCCCCTAATCTTAAAGGGCCAATGTGTAAGATTTAGGTGAAATTTAATTTAAAATTTAATATAATGTAGAAATATCCTCATGATGTTTTCACTAGTTCGTTTCATCTAAATTGTATGAATTATAGTTTTCTTTACCCCAGAAAAGGCCCTTTATATTTAAATACTTTATATTTACATCGAGGGGGTCCGCTCTATGGAGGCCTCCTTGTTTTTTTACATTAGTCCAGACTGGACAAACTAAACACCTTTTGAGTTTTTTGACAACTCAAGTTACCACAGGGGAGGATGAGGTGAGGGGCTTTCAGCTGCAACATGAAACTTCAACAATAGATATCACAAAATTCTACACACTGTACCTTTAACTAATTCGTAGCCCAAACTAAAGTGTTTCCCTAACCCTAAACCAAGTACTTATTTCAACCCAAACCTTTTCCTCTAAATCTTACTAAATCTTGTTTGTGCCTTAGCCAAGTCAAACCTGCTGACTGGCGGTTTGTAATGGTTCTAGGAAGAAGACAGTCAACGGTGGCAGCAGATCAGACCTGTGTCATATTGAAAAACATTTCCACACATTGGGACTCAATCATCAACCATCTTTTAGACATTTCTTCTTAACACCTACTTCAGCGTTTTTTTTACAAAGATTGTAAGATTCACCAACGCTTATCTGGTACTAAACACAGAATGTAAATGGTTTGTAATGTATGAATACTTAAGTGTACACTTGTGTGTGTTGACTGCTGACATGCTTGTGCAGAATAAGAGATTTTTCAGTTTTCTTCTATTTTACAGTTGTATAGTGGACTTAAATTTCAATAACATTTGATCTTTTTTTTCATTATTTTAGTATGATGGTCTTTTTGTCATGGATTTGGTGTGCGGGTGGACCCAAATGCAGAAGGTGAGGGTAACAAAAAGTGTCCTATAATAAAGCAAAGGCAGAAATATCTATACAAGTGAACAAAAGATACAAAAGCAAAGCACTGTCCAAAGATCTGGTTCAAAGAACCAAAAAATACTTAAAGGGATTGTTCACCCAAAATTAAAATTCACTCATTGGCTACTGACCATTTTGCTGATGTAGGGGTGAAATGTATGAGTCCACAAAACACCTCTGAAGTCTCAGGGCTAAACTTTGTTGCAGCCGAATTCGATACAATTGAAGTAATAACATGCCTCCAAACTGCTTGTGTGGTGTCATCCAAGTATCCACAAGCCCCAACATTCATATTCAACTCGAAACGAGGTAATTTACACAACCACAGCCAGCAGCCTAACCCATTACTGCTCCATCAAATGGCCCAGCTGACCGGCCCCAGTCTTCACAGACTTCATGAGGACTGAGTTAATGCAACCTGAGGGCCCCCAAGCAGAAGGCTGGCTCTGGGTTGCCGCTATCTGCCTGGTTACTGTCTAAAGCAAAGGATAACCACATAACATCTCCATAGAAACCCCAATCTGCAATAACAAAGGATGAGTAAACCCAGGAATGCATTTCTCTTTGTCAAAGGCCCATCCGAAGTTTAGTCTTCTTACTATTTTGGTTGTGCAATGGCAACACACCTCCTTTGTAGTCTGAACAGAGCTATTGTTTTTCCATGCCTCATGGCAGAGAGAACTGCATAAAGTGAGGTGTATAGAGAACCCCTCCAAACAACAATGGTGTCCTTCTTTTTCAGCAGCGATATAGTGAAATCAACATGTATTTCTGGAGTTAAACTTGTTTGTTTCCCCTCGACTGTAGAGTCTAAAGTCTTAGATGAGAGAGTGCTGGCAGTGAAAGTGAATCATTGGTATTTTCTTTTTGGGTGTGACTGAGTTGTGCCCTGCAGCTCATGTAGTGCTGTTACTACAGCACTGAGTCGAGGAAGCCAACACCTTTATCAGAGTGGTTAAGAAGGGTTTTAACAGGTATCGACAGTTCCAATTCTGTCAGAACAAGAAATCTGCTTCAACTCCTGACATTCACTCAGCTGCAAGCTGCTAGTAAAGGATCCGAGAGCCAAGGTTTAAACAACCATATTTACTTGAAGCATTTAAAATGGTGCAGACTGTACATGTGTAACTTCTTTGAATAAATGGAAACACTGAATCTGAACTGATCATTGCAAACTATTGAAACAGACTGTGAACTATAGTCCTCAGGTGCCCACAAGTTGCAACACATAAACTACAGGGTAGTGGAGAACTTCATATATTAATCCTTACATCACTTTATTTTCCTCCCCCTTTTTCCTTGCCACTTCCAAATCTTGTAATGACTCTTTTAATTTAGTGTTTTACTTTCAGTTTTCATTTAAATGCCCATTCCATTTTAGATAGCTCTACTCTCTGTAACTCAGTAAGTACCGACTGCAGTGAACCTCCTGCAACACCAGTTTCCCTTTTAAAAGTTATCAACTCTTCTACTACTGTAATTTTACTTCTAAATCTAAAACTGCTTTTGTTGTTGGTGCAACTATTTGAGAAATTTAAAAGGGAAAACCCCACCCACAGACAAAAGCAACACCACTACTTGTAATTTAAGTTATTTTTTTTACTGTTTAAGTGTCATGTGCTTCTGAACTCATTCAAGAATTCAGTCCATTCAATATTTTCCTTCTCATTAAAACACAATACATGTATGAGAAAATATGACATGTGCAACTCATTTCGGGTATCAAAAGATACAGTATGCCCACCTCTATGGGATACTGCCAGAGGCCTTTTACTAATTGTGTTACAATATAAGTATTAATACATCCAAAAAGCTTTTTTCACTCCTGGTGGTTTTTAGTCATGTAGATAGTTTTTGATTCATTTTTCAAGTATCCACAAGTCTGTGTCTGAGATTTCTGCCTCAATTCAAATACAAAAGAGGCAATCATAGAAAGAATTGAAGAAAGGAATATATATCTATAGATATATAGATACAGTATATATAAATAATTCTCCTAGATATTAAATTTATTCGATTTAACTTAACAGTAAAGATTATTTTTTTATTTGCATCTTATTTGAATTATTGAAGTTTGTTGTTTTATTACCAGCCAAAGAGGTTATGTTTTTGCACCAGTTAATTTGTTTTTCAGCAGGATTACAGAAAAAAACTACATATTTTCATGACATTTTTTAGAAATATTGTACATTGGCCAATACATTTTTAGCAGCTTTAGTAGCTTGAATGGATTTAAGGGGACTATACCTTGGGAGAGATAATAGCTGAACTGTTTCCCACTCTAGATTTTGTTTGATGAATGCAGAATCACAAAAAGAATGGGAGAGAAAAGAGTTCAAAAGGATCATATAGAATAAATAAATCTAACTGAATATAATGTCTCAGAAATGACAAGGGTCAGGGGCAAGTGGAAAGCAAAGGTTTTTCCATAAGGATCACAGAGACAGTACTTTTAAAATAAACTCAGTGAGACTTCATATGAAGCTACACTTTTCCAAATTCTACTGTGATGTGGTTATTTATTTAGAGGCATCATGCAAATCCTGTTGTCTTTAGGAAAATACATACTGTATATTTACATTGAACATATCCAGCAGCAACTAGCCAGAATGTGTTGTGAAAGTCTGGTGAAATGTTACCAATTTAAACTGTAGATGTATTTATATTGCATCAATTTTGCAAAAACATAAGTCAATAGAAAAGTGACTATAATACCACACCCAACCACTTACTCCTCCAACCACACACACCTCTCAAAAAGAGCCCCCAGCTAATGAAGTCAAGATTTCTTTTTTTTAACTTAACATGTCTTCTCCCCCCTCTCACTGTGAGCTATGAGGCCATTCCTCTCTGAGCATTCGGGTGTGTCAAGCCCTGATCAGTTTACAGGGGTGGCACTCTTACCTGTCCGACAGGCTGAGCTGCTCCATGCTAATTCTACGTGCAAGTGCACCTTACAGGATGCAGGTAATTGGTGGAGGGATGAGGAGGAGGAGCTTACTGGGACCTCCTCCTCAGAAGGAGGCAGATAAAAATCCATGGCAGACTGGGTGAAGATACTTAGAGGGACTTGACTCACCTCTGAGTGTGCTCCACTGCTCTGCCAAATCTCTCTCTCTTTCTCTCTGCCCTCCCTTTTACTCTTTGAATCCGTTCAGAAGAGACATGGCGTCCTCCTCGTACAGCGTTAAATCCAGGACCAGCTTCTCTGGCAGCCGTAGTGGTGGAGGAGGAGGAGGAGGAAGATATTCCTCACAATCTGCTGTTATGCAGAGGGGGCCATCCCGGCAAAGCACCTCAGTTGTTAGGTCAAGCTTTGGTGGAGGAATGGGAAGTTTTGGAGGTGGTGGTAGTTACGGAGGTGGTGCCTATGGATCTGGTGGTGGTGGTGGTGGTGGTGGTTATGGATCCAGTGGTGGGTCATTTTCTTCTAGCAGTGCTTTTGGATTAGGTTCTGGCTTTGGCAGTGGTGGTGGTGGTGGAGGTATGATAATCCCCCAAATCTCAAACGTCACAGTCAACCAGAGCCTGCTGGCTCCTCTGACCCTTACGATTGACCCGAACATCAGTTCTGTCCGTACCGCAGAGAAAGATCAGATCAAGGGTCTAAACAACCGCTTCGCTAGCTTCATTGACAAGGTAAGTGTAAACAGCTTATGTCTTCATGTCCCACACCATTTCAAAATCTTAAATGTGGTTTTCAGAGTGTTTTTAATTGTGAAATCATCTGGTTGAACAAGAGATGCTGATATGAATGAACAGGAAAATGAAATATTAAGTTAATTGGTTTGTGAAAGTGGGAATAGCTGCAACAGGGCCACCTGGGCTCATTAAATATTACACAGCAACTGATCCCATTGTGGATGATAGCCACACAAACCACACTACCAATCATAGTATTATTAGCATGAAATAGATTTTGTCGGTTTGGTCAGTCTTTTTAAGCTATACTGTGCATTGACTCACTTATCCACTGAAATTGAAAGCAGACCACTGCGCCTTTAATACTTTGTTGACAATAATTGGCCCCTTGCCAGCTGTGTCTGTGTGGAGCGAGAGTCAGGAAACATTAGAGTGATCGTATCCAGTGACTGGTCCCTCTCAGTTTGAGGGGAGAAAGGGATCAGGTTATCACCCATTCCCATGGCAGCAAGGCTTGACAAGCTTCCATTAGTGATGCAGAAAGTGGGCTTGAAATATTTGCAATACATCATATAATGCTTACACTTCAAACAACAATTTTTTCATTGCATGCACTGTTTATCATATATGACAATACAACAATGCAATGATTGAGGTCCTAATCGCACTCAACTGTGCTTTCATGTTTAATTGAAGTTCTTGTAAATAAGATGAGGGACCTTTTCTCTCTGTTACAAATGAAAAAACAAGTTAACCACACCCTACACGAGAAAATGCTCAGTTAGCTTTCCCTGTGCTGTGCGTCTACCACACCTCATCTGTCCCCACAAGTGATCTCGTCTTCCATCTGTATAAAATGATTCACAGCTGAATATTCAGATCATTACAGAAAGTATTCGTAGTCACAATGGGGGAGTAAAATATCAAATGTTTAATCAACAGTTCAATTTATTATGTTCATGAAATGCAATTAAATGGTATATCTTTAAAGCATCCTCACACTACTGGCAGTTATCGGGTTCAGGCCAGATGGATTAGTTTGCTGAGGGTTGAGGCATGTTCATTCAGTGAAAGTATTCTTACTGGAGGCGAGGGTGCGGTTATGCCAGAGCTTTAAAGGGGAGGGGCAAGGCTGAGGTGTGGCAAGGCGCACCTCATCTGGCCATTTACACGCACACACACAGAAAAAAAAACCTGCAACTCTGATGACAGAGCAACTATGCAAATGCAAATGCAAGGAAGATGTATGGAACAGATACTTTCAGTGAGAACCAAAGGTCTCCGGCCTGAAAGGCATTGGTTATTACAAAATCCTTTAGAGTGGTAAAGTCACACATAGGTGTGGCTCGATGGATCATGTGAGTAAAGTAAAATAAGGAAGACAAACATCTCTGTTTTCCTGGAGAGAAGTAAGCCAAATCATGAATAAAAGGGACAGTTTATATAATCTATCCTGAGGCCGTCTGCATCTGCATGAAGAGGGGGTTGGTATTTATGAGTGGAACACCGCCAAGAGAGCAAAATGTGAGAAGAAGAAGAATGGAGGTGAAGACAACGACTGTTTAAAAACACCTGTGTTTAAAAACCATGGTTAGCTAAAAGCTTCTGTTTCATGCACTGATGCCGCCTCCTCCAAGCCACATAGCAGGTGCCCATGGCTATTTGCCTTTCCTATTAGATTTTTTTATTTGCAGTTATGATAAAATGGTCATATTCCAAGCAATATCTTCCTCCAGCTGTTGGTGGATCTTAACTTCTGAAATGTTTACCTTTTAGGTGCGATTCCTGGAGCAGCAGAACAAAATGCTGGAGACCAAGTGGAGCCTGATGCAGGATCAGACCACCACCCGCTCCAACATCGACGCCATGTTCGAGGCCTACATCGCCAACCTGCGCAGACAGCTGGATGGACTTGGCAACGAGAAGGTCAAGCTGGAGGGAGAGCTGAGAAACATGCAGGGACTGGTGGAGGACTTCAAGAACAAGTGAGTAAACACCAGAGAAGGAAACCAAGTGTTGTCAGACCTACAGGGCTCGATGCCACCCTTCATTTTCCATGAGTTCATTCTTCCTCCATTTGTTTGCATCAGATATGAAGATGAAATCAACAAGCGTGCTGGTGTGGAGAATGAGTTTGTGCTCCTCAAGAAGGTGAGAGAAATTCTGCAATCATTGAGCCAGGCATTCCAGCTTCAAGGATGGCTCATTTGCTTTTCCTCCAAACCATCACCAATGCAGAACACTTCCTTCTTCTCCTCTTACAGGATGTAGATGGTGCCTACATGAACAAAGTTGAGCTAGAGGCCAAGGTTGATGCCCTTCAGGATGAGATTAACTTCCTCAGAAGTGTCTACGAGGCGGTAAGGAAATCAAACCACACCTCAGTCCTGTTATGTCTGTTGTTTCATTAATGCCACCAGAAGAGACAGATAAACAATAACACAAACAGAAACAGATTTCATGCTGCCTCTACTCATACTTTGAGTTTTATTTTTTTCAATAAAATACTGTTGTCTCTTCTTCAGGAACTGCGTGAACTCCAGGGACAGATCAAGGACACTTCAGTCATTGTGGAGATGGACAACAGCCGCAACCTGGACATGGATGCTATTGTGGCTGAAGTCAAGCAGCAGTATCAAGAAATCGCTGACCGCAGCCGTGCTGAGGCTGAGAGCTGGTACCAGCAGAAGGTAGGTGGATGGAGATAGCAGTCATACAACAACTCCATTATCAAACACACATTATGCAAAAATGTCTGTGGAGCCTGTTATAATAGTTATTTTTCATTATGTTCCTTCAGTTCAGTGAGATGCAGGCCTCTGCCGGCTCTGCGGGAGACGACCTCCGCAACACTAAGAGTGAGATTGCTGAGCTCAACCGTATGATTTCACGCCTCCAGAATGAGATTGAGGCAGTCAAGGGACAGGTAAATTCACAATTACACATGTGATTATCTGTTTTACCTTGAGCTCATTTCACTTATAGACTTATCATCTCTGCACAAAATATTCAAAATGATGCTGGCTTCCAGAACATGTTAACTACCAGATAAACATGTAGAAATATCAAACCTGAAGCTTCTGATCACTTTCCAACTTCTCAGCGTGCCAACCTGGAGGCCCAGATCGCTGAGGCTGAGGAGCGTGGTGAGCTGGCCGTCAAGGACGCCAAGCTCCGTATCAAGGACCTAGAGGATGCCCTGCAGAGAGCCAAACAGGACATGGCCAGCCAGGTCCGTGAGTACCAGGAGCTCATGAACGTCAAGCTGGCTCTAGATATTGAGATTGCAACCTACAAGAAGCTGCTGGAAGGAGAGGAATCCAGGTAAATGTTACTTTGGAGGATGAAAAAAAAGGGCAGTCAACAGCTTAGATTGCTAATTTATGTGCATCTCTGCAGAATTGCCGCTGGTCCTGCAATAGCTACCATCCATATGCAGAGCTCAAGCTCCGCCTACGGTACGTATTGACCTATGTTTTGACAACTCAGGTAATTTCTATGGCATTCATAAAAAAATCCAACATGGGGATGGGTAGGCTATTAGTAAAGCTATCAATTTACTTGATATGTGTACTTAACTAATTTCATTCTCATTACCAGGTGGCGGTAGTGCAAGCGGCATGGGAGGAGGTGGCGGCTATGGAGGCGGCAGCTATGGAGGCAGCATGAGCATGGGAGGCGGCGGCAGCGGCTATGGAAGCAGCTTGAGCATGGGAGGCGGCGGCGGCTATGGAAGCAGCATGAGCAGTGGAGGAGGCGGTGTCGTATCATCAAGATCCTCCACCATGTACAGCATGCGCCGTTAATAAAGCCTGCAGCTGTCTTCATCTCCAATCTTGGTCTTCCCTCACTTTGTTTTCCTCCTCATGCCCCATTCATAAGCGTTTCTATAAATCCCAACACCGCTCTCCCTGCACACACAGAGCAGTCTCAGAAACATGCTCCATTCAACCATTTATCACTATCGCAGATCCATGTAATGGTATAGCTCTCTGTGGCATCTGGCTCCCGTGGGGCTGTTTCTTTGTCACCACATTCTCACAGAGTCAGAGATTACATTCAAGTACAGAGAGATTGTATGTAAAAGCAGCAGAGATGTGAGTCAGTCCTCTTCTTTGATCAGTCAGCCAGGCTGTCTTTTGGTTGCTGGATATGCTGTTGTGTAGACAAGAGGATACTTGTAGTGTCATGGCAGAGAATCCATAAAAGGCAACAATCATTGCACACAAAAGACAACAGCGGTTCTAAGATTTGCACAGAAGGAGAAGTGGGTGTGGTGCTATGTCTTGAATTTATGAGGCATTCATTGCAGGCAGGCGTACACAATGCCACACCTGTAACATCCCTTCTTCTAATGTCCCATCTGCTGTCACATTCGTCTTCACGTGCATTTTGACATTATCAAAAGCAGCCACATATAACACTCTTTCGGGATCCTCTTTTTCATCTCCTGTTCAGAGAGAAAATGAGCTATCCGCTTCAGCAATTTACGGTGTTTATTTCTTTCCTTCCATTTTTCACTCTGAATAAAAAATCAGGGCTAAGGCTGACTGGAACAACTAGATTTATTGTGAATTTGTACCACCGAAACATCTGGAATAAATCTGTGTTCATATTTGGCAGACTCTCTTTGTTCTTCTTGAATACTGTTTGTTTTTTGAAACTAAAATTCCATATGTGCACAAACATGGTTACATTAACCAGCTTGATGATCCATGTGAGAGATTACTCTTGAGTAGAGTTAGTAAGAGTACAGTTATAGTCTTCTCTTATAAATAAAAATGTACAAAATAAATGAATTAACTGTCAGGCATTTCTGCCAAGCAGGTTTACACATATAAGGAATTGCTGTGGTGTATTTGTATAAAGTATAAATATAAAAAATCGGAAACAAAAATTTAAAATAAATATAAAACATACTATGATTAATTTTGAAACAGCATTAAGTATGACGAAGAAGAGTGTAGATGTAAACAAGACAGAGCTGCTCACCCTTGGCTCAGACTACATGAGATCAGCCAGAGTGTAGCCCCAGTGCCTCATGACATCCTGAGAGAAAGAGATTTTTCTTTAACCTTTAATGATGGGTCTTGTTTCCTCTTTGATTTTGACCAGAGAAGAGGACGCCATGTTCAAATTTAGACATGGCAAATTGAAAGAGGAATTATGTTGTTGCTATTTCAAGGTGAAACAGAGAAATTAGGTTTTTAAGCTTTTCCAAACACGAGACAGTTTGCATCGTACTCATAGATTCGGATGCAGTGTTGTACCTGGAAGTCTGTCGTGAGTACCTCCTTTCCTTGTAGCGTCACGCACACAACAGGAAAGGTGGCAAACAGCGATTGGTTAAAAAACATCATATGGTTTCCGGCCACATGAAAAAAACATGGTCCCACCTCTGGATCGCTGCGTGTGTTTATTACACATCCTCAGCGAGTGTGCCAATAATGACTGGCTGGAAAGACATAACGTAAGAGATATGTAAGAAAGGGCATACACAGATCAATCTTTTACCAGTACTACTACTACTAGTACTACTGATACTGATATTTATAACTCCTAATAATTATAACTACCAATAATGTTTCTGATCGTACATTGTACAGCGATGATAATAATCTTATATCTGGCAACATTGCCCCCGTGTGTCTGTCTGTGTCACATTGAACTCTAAAAATAACATGCATCTATAAAAATGCATTTCATGAGGCATTGCTGCATCCTATAGGTCTATAGACTAGAACAAAAGTTGATATAGGTTTTTTTAAATGTGTTACGATCATATGGTAAGGATAAAATCAATAAGAAGCTTATTTAGACTAACCAGTCCTTTGTCATAGTATTGTATAATACAGGCCTTGATGATATCGTAATGATTTACAATATATTTATTTCAATATCAAAATGATAGTGTTGCCTGTTTGGGATCTATACACTGCACACAGGGTACGTGTCACCCGTCTGCTCCTTTCATTGTTTTATTGTATTTTGTACCATCTCTAAACACACATTTGTAAATTACTGTTAATGAATGGTCCCTTCCTTAATTTCTATCTATCCATCAATTCCATATTCTGCTCCCTTCAGTTACGACACTAAATCTGCCTTTAAAGGAATCCCCTAAACAGATTTTACAGAAGTCCCTCTCCACATACATTTACTGAAAAGCATTTTTTAAAAGTTTATTTCTTTCTATAATTTTTGGGTTGCTCTACTGATAAAGCAAATGCGACTGTGAATCTCTTGTCTCTGTGTCCGTTTCAGCTGCTGGTCACATGTTGTCACACGAATCCTTCCAAATCAATATACATATCATAACTACTTTTTTCTCTTTCCATCAAGTTGACACAGGTTTTATGCAGGCACTGGTTTACAGGACATCACACAAACATAAAACACTCTTTGGATCAAATAGAAACAATTACGTGGGTACATTTAGGAAAGAGGAATCTTTCATGTTCTCATTGAGATGTTAAAGCCTTTTAAAGGAAGATATGTTTCTCAGCTTGACAGATACAATCCTCCAACTTGCATTTCCATCGTCATCATTTGAAGAGAGGTGACATAACAGCCTTAAGTAAAACTTGATCGCCTCCTGGTGGCTGGCAGCAGTACAGGTCGTTGTCCATAGTTTGTATCACACCGATGTAAAGCTTTCATTTGTCCTGTGGGTTTCATCATGAATCATAGAGAGACCCAACAATTCTTATATACTACGAGCCCAATAATAATACTTATAACAATAATATCTCGAGATTTGAGAGAGAAGGAGAGAAAAAGGGGCTGCTTTTCATCTCTTCATTCATACCATACATTCTCCCACCTTATAATTTACTCATCTTTTGTTTATTCCTTTATTATCTCACACATTCCCTGTGTTTCAGGAGTCTGATTCCAACCTGCAGCTTGCAGTCCTCCTCTCAGAGGTGACTGACTTTGACGCAGCGGCGACACAGTCTGTGAGCTGCTGCTCCACTGTTAATGTTGATATTTGCAAAATGCACATTTCTCATTTTAAAGACTCCCAAATGAAATCTTTACAAAAACATGGATTAAATATCATATCCAATTTGAACTAGTGGGATGTGAAAAATCCAACTCTCACCGAGAAGTAAAAGCTTTCATTCTTTCATTCAGGGACTTAAAGATATTACATTTTACAACAGGTGGTTTTAAGAGTTGAGCCTTTCCCCCTTTCAATTATTATAAGTCTATGTATTTTACTTTATTTGATCATTCATATTTTATTTTATTTGTATTGCTGTAAATTCAACAAAGTCCTGACACAGTGGTCTTTATACAGCACTTACAGACATGTGACCTAAACGACTGACAATCTTTACATTAAAATCAACATAATGAGTCAAATTAATGTAAACACCTCATAAAAAAGAATTTGATATTTAAGGTTTACATGCTTTTGGTAAAACAGATATAGATTCATCAAGCTATTATTGCTACCATCAACTCTATCAACTGCACATTCATGTTAGATGCAGAAAAAAGGACAGAATATATTTAATGTTCTTTCTTTTTGTATTTGTTTCGCTGAATAGTTGACCTTTACATCACATGCAGATATTAAACCAAACACTGGGAAGCAGCAGCACATCATCACAGCATCTTACATAGCTGTTTTACTGGGGTTGTCAGGGTCGAAGGTCATGATCTCCATGTGGATAAGACCTGATTGGGAAGAAAGCGTAGACTTATTTTCACAACTATTATTGACCTCCTTTTTTAAATATAAGAATATGATTATTTATTCTTCTGTTAAGCCCTCACAGCCGTACTCACTCTTCCATTCGCCAACAGCCAGCTCCAGGCTCTCAAAGGAGTCGTCATAAGGCTCAGAGTCCGGCTCACACTCTGGGTCATGGTATTCAGCCAGGAAGGGGTGTGGAAGACTCTGCTTTGCTGTCAGCCTCGTCTCTGGATCCAGCAGCAGCATCCCCTCCAGCAGGTCCACAGCTGGAAGCATCAGGGCCGAAAACAGAACATTTAAATCATCACAAGAAAACATTTTTTTTATCAACCACTATTTGGTCATAAGGATGTTTCTGTTTATTTGACAAAAAAGTTTTTTTTATTTCAAAGTTCTCCCCTGACAGAGTTTCAGGATTTACTGTATCTCCTCATCTCCTATTTGTTATAAATACGCAGCATTGAGAGATGAAGTGACACTTACGAGCTGGTTCAGGCCGCCAACTCGCGCTACACCGCTCTAATCATATTATCTCAGCTCAGGCTGTTACTCCTGTGTTTGCCTATTTTATGTGTTCCTCTCCCTGTCTCCTCCTCCCCTGTGTGAGTGTGAGTGTGGCAGACCTGGCACCAGTAGGCTCCAACAGAGGGGTAAAGATATCTGCTCATCATCATTCCCCGTTATATTACTGTAATTGTATCTGAGGGCGGGTGAGGAAGTCAGAGCCTAGACGCTAAACTCCATGATCAGCTGCTGCAATAAACATTTCACACGAGAGTTGTCTGATATAGGTGACGATGCTACAGCAAAGTCATGATGAAGAAGTTAGGGTTCGAAGTCAGCTTTACTTTCCAATTCAAGCACAATGTATTTCATTTAACGTCAATAAGTAGAGAAGCGGTTCAGTGCACCATTTTTATCCATGGACGGAAACACATCCTTGAAGTTTTTCTTCTTCTGTGGAGGGAGACCTCGCACGTATGACTGCGCCTGGAAAACACGTAATAATGGTTATGTTTTATAACAAAGAAAAAGAGCATAAAATATTTAAAAAAGAGGTGAATATCAAAAAAATTGGTTTGTTATTTTCCACTTATATTTGGGGATAGGCTGCATTCATCAGTTGGCATAAATGTTGGAATTCATGAGGCATGTGGACACAACAAAACCCACGTCTTTACTCTGCATCTTCTGAACCAGGGAGGAGTCTGGTGTTCCTGTCAGGCGGAGGATCTTTTTCAGCTGATCGATACCTGAACAGGCTGGTTAAGGAATGTGTTACTGTTTACAGGAAACAACAGATGGTTTAGATATTGCTATACAAATACAGTTATCATAATTACAGCACATCGACACAGACATCAGTACTTATCACAACAGTGTGTACAATTTAGTGACATCTAGTGGTGAAATTGCATGTGGCAGCAGAATACCCCTCACCTCACCCTCCCCTTCCAAACATGACAGAGAACCTGTAGAAGCCTTCAGTTGTCATAAAAACTCAAAAGGTGTTTAGTTTGTCCACTCTTACATTTGAAACAACAAAGGAGGAACAGTGTGAATTTCCCATTGGTTTAGTTGAGCTGAATGTGTGAGGATACTGTCGTGTCCTTGGAAAAGTACCTGGCCAGTAATCATCTCTGCCAGGATACAGGCGGCTGACCAGACATCCACTGAAGGGAGGACAAGAGAGAGACGGTTACATTTTATATTTTGTCAGAACGTACTGCTTCAATACTGGAAACGATGACAGTGAGATGATATCATCACCTGTCTGACTGTAGTGCATCCAGTTGAATATGATCTCTGGTGCTCTGTACCAGCGTGTTACCACATAACCAGTCATCTCACTCTCGGTCTGTCTCGCCAAGCCAAAATCCAGGATCTGAGAATAGTTACAGGTTAACAAGGCAAGTTTAAGAATTTATCGGTTTTTTTAGATCAGGTTTAAAAAGATGAGTTAGATATTTCAAAACTACCATGTAAATTCCCAGATGATTATATGTGTAAAGCCGAGTTTAATCATCATATTAGACTTTTTAACTCACCTTTAATTCACAGTTCTCATTCACAGCGAGGTTACCAGGCTTCAGATCCTAAAATCAAACCACATCAGCTTTCTTAATCGCATAATGTCTGACTTAAGTAGCAGCCATTTAGCTTAGCTTAGCTTTGCCTGGTTCTGTCTTCAGGCCTCATGTTTCTTTGGTTACCCAGCCTGAGCTCATAGAAGGACTGGTGTCACCAAAATATGAATCAAGTC